GGACGATGAAGGGCATTTCAGCTGACTGGGCAGCCGACATTGCTGTAGGGCGGCCCGTAGGCAGGCCAAGCCTCCGCCGCCGTGCGATTGAGCAAAGCTCCCGTTAGTTCCTAGAAGTTCGCTGGCAGCTGGCTAGACTGCGTGAGCAATTAGAATCTGCGAGGATCAGGCCTGCTAAATGAAGATGGCTGACTCTAGCGCTCACTGCAAGACTGGTGGTCAGTGAGTTGTGACTGGTTCGGCTGGTTCGAGCCTGACGCACCACCCAGAAGTGACCACTGCTATCTTGGCTGCAAAACAGAGAGCAAATAAATGTAAGACTTGTCTGGCAGATGCAGGCACTGAACTTGTGATAAACCAGTGGGGCACTCGTGGAGCGCTGGGCACCATGAAGAGCAGCGGTTGGAGCCATCGCTATCTGGCCTGAGCATGCCAAAACGGTGCGCAAGGCATTGCTGTAGTCTGTCACGCACAGTACTCGCAGTACTCAGAGCTTTGTTTTGGACCGTCGCTGCTGTCGAGCCTCGATGCCTAGGCTGCCTTGATGCCCCAGGGGCCCGCTGCAGTGTAGTGGCGGGCAAAGCCCCCGAGGCCTAGAGAGAACAGTCTCACGACGGGGGAGTGATGGACGTCGCCTCCTCCAAGCTTATTTGGCCGTCCCTGTGAAGAGGATAGCCTAAGGAGCGGAGAACATTGCGCGTACCCAGCGGTAGTCTCTCCGATCCGCTGATATGAAATGAGCCTAGGATCAGGCGACAGCCTGACCATGGGAGGATAGAATGCCTCTTCTGGGCATCGAACGCCAAAAAGGGGAGAGTGATAGGATGTACAGATCCCCGGACGCTGTTATGTGTATCCAAGCACACGTCTCCCTCTTCAGCTTCCACAAATAGCTGGCCGCCAGTGAAGACGGAGAGGGGGATCAAAACGTTCGGCACGTCCTTGTGATTGTGAGGATCCGAGTGTAGTCCCATGGCTCGATTTCTGGCACGGAACACCGTGGAATGGTTGTGCGCCCCGCTTAAGGTGTAGATCACGGCATTCAATAGGCGGCTGACCATGGGGTATCTCCTCGTCTGGGCCCGAAGACCAACCAGCGGGCCTTGTGAGTAGGCTCCAAAGAAGATGCTTTTGTAGTCCGACGGCTGATCAATGCTAGGAGAGGAGTGCCTCGAGTCCTGCATGGATGGAAGGCCATCAAGTAGCCGACCAAAGACTTCGAAGGGGGCCCACTTGGAATGCAGGCAGCACGTGGCCATACTCTCTGTGGGGCAATGGGTGAAGGGGTTGTCGGTGATGTCCATGAAGGGAGGCAGCAAGAGCTTGATGCCAGCCTCCTTCGGATTGGCATAAAGCTGTAGCGTCGTGGCAACGGATTCTTGACGTTGTTTGTCCAGCTCGGAGAGAGGCCGATGCCTGAAATCCGAGCTGGGGCCCGGCTCTTCTTGGCGTCTTCGCTTGCTAGACCAAGTCTCCGTTGTGGGCGCTGTAGGCCAAGCCGCCGTTGGGGTAGGATGATCCAGATCGATGACCTCGCTGCTTGAAGAGCGCGGTCGAAGTCGCCACATGTGGTGTAATTCAGCTAGGCTGGCTCTGGAACGCCGAGAGAAAAGGCTGCGCAGCGCGTGGCAGAGGCGTGTGTCGGGCTCGTCACCATAATGCATGTGCAGATCTGTTTTATGCCCGCAGATTGCGTTGCTGGGCTGGTTTGTGCAGTTGAGTCAGCTCCGTGAGCCGACGTAAAAGAGTTAACAAACCTCGGAAAGACAAAACCCTGGCTAGCAAACAGCCTTACCCATCCTGCATCATGGTTTGGGCATCAGCTGCAGTCGCCGAGCCCGGTGCCGCTGAGGAGGATTGGTTGCTAGCGACCGCAATGAGCTCCTCGGAGACCTCCCTCAAAATATCAGAAGTGACCCGAAGGGATTCGGCCAGGCTGCTGTGGGTCTGTAGGGGCTTTGACTGTTCCATATCCTGGGCAAAACTGATTGCCGCACTGAGATTGGCCGCGGCATGTCGAATGGCACTCTGCACCGGAGACGAGAAGGTCGCCTGTGCCCCAGGTAAGGAAGCTGCCTGACTGGGAATTGCACCACTGTCAGGAATCCCCGTTGAGGATGCCTCCTGACTGTCTCCCCAGATGCCCGGAAGCCGGACCTCGTTGACGGTGGCTGGAACAGGCAGCACTGACTGCGTAGATGAGTGGGCCAAGCCCCCGTCCAAAGACTTATCAGTAGTCCAAGTCTCCGTGGGGCCAGAGGGAGCAGGGGGAGGGGGAGGGGGATTCGACGGTACGAGGTAGCCATCCTGGTTGGAGTAGGCCTGCCAGGGGAAGACCTCCTGGTAGATTGTGCGAGCAAAGCGGCCACAGGTACGCAATTGACATTTCAGAAAGAACCGCGCCGAGATAGCTGACTTCTCCCAGCTGCCCGTTCCCTGCGTCCCTTCGCTTGCCTCGCCTTCCGGAACCAGGGTACCATTGGAGTTGCCAAACTTGGATGCCGGTGAAGTGAAGATAGCCGTGTCATATTTGACCTCGCCATTTGCTTTCCAAAGTGAAGCATGCAAAAT